TCTTCGCCGCATAATGGGCCAGTTCTAGTAATTGTTTACGCCGCAGGCAGCCCATTATAATCTTTAAGTTGGGGAAAGAAAATGAAAACATGCCACTTATTTTAAAAGATTTTCAAGTTTATGTTTTATTTTTTATGGAGGGGGAGTGGGGGGGGGCTATAAGTACTCAGTGGGATAATTATTGTTTCAGCCTGATGGAAGAAGCTGACGGATTATTGAACAAATGGGACATTATTTGTGCCTAATTGCCTTGTTGCTCCTGCTGAAGCAGTTCCACCACAGAAGATTAGCATGCTCCATCAGACTGGAGACCATCAGGCCACTGTGCAGCTCTTGTTTTATTTATGCCTGTGCTGGTGTGTGTGTGTGTGTGTGCTGCTGGAAATGTGGCTTCTTTGTGTTTGTTATTGTGGGAGGCAGGAATGAATATAAATTCCACGGATTAGGATACAAGTAGGTGATTCGCATTCATCACTCCCGGGCTGTTATGCATCCACGCTTGGCAGCCATTGATGAAGACCAAGAAAAAAAAGATGCTTCTGCATTGCTGTTGACTAGTTTTGAAATTAAACTTGTATTGTTTTTTTTGATTGCCATGCAATTACTGTGATCATTCAATTATGAGCCATACAAAAACAAAGTGAGAGAACTCTCTGTGACACTTTTTTTGTTTCTGGTACTTTTTAATCAGCTTTCTTTGAAAATATAAATACTTATTCACATTGTAATTAAAATAGTCATGAAAAGTTGGGTTGTTTGTCAATATTTCAAACATTGACAAACAATGTTTGTCAAGGTTTTTCACAAAATCAAAGTTTTCTATGTTCACTAAACAATCATGTCCTGAATGGGCAATTAATGTTTAATATATATAGATGTATATTAAACTATGAAAAGTGAAAGATGAATAAAGAAACAAATCCCAAGAAAAAACCAAAATCTACACTTATTTCTTTATTTCATGTAACTTGCGTTTACTGCCAAATGGACTTTAAAAAGAAACTGGAGGAAGAGTTAAAAGGAAATAAATTATCTAAAAAATATGTATATATCTAAGAAACAAGTGGCAACAATTTATTCAAAAGACAGTACAAACAAACCACGATTATGAATAATGTTATCCTTTTAAAGAACAAAGAAAATGTCACATCCAAAAATTAGAATAAATAGAAAAACTCAAAATAAGTTTCATTTATATGGTCAGGTGTCCAAAATAAAACTTTTCTAAAAGCATCTTGAATTTCTAATTTATATAAAATTTGATAATTTCTTTAACTAGTACTTTGATGTGTAAAATAATCCATCATACACTTCAGCTGACAACTATTTTACTAACTTTTCTACATTTGTGAAATAAAATCAGCACAAATATTTTACAAGCACGTAGTAATTAAACATTCTTCCCCTGAGGCGTAGCTGCCGTACTACAAATTTAATTAAAATTAATTTTAAAAGTTGTTTCAGGAATCAAAATAGATGCACTAAAATATTTCTGAATTATATTGACGAGTTATGAAAGTAAAGACTTCAACACACTGAATCTATGTTTGAGACTTTTATTTTGAAAATCATAAAGTACTTCTATATATTGCATTGATTCTAAACACTGAGAATAATCCAACTGGATAATTATTAGCCACCAAATGTTATGCAAAAATTTGTAAATTGTGAAAACAGAAGACAAATTTTCTTTTCCCCAAAAAATTATCGTGTTTTAGCGATTTTTTTAACTCAATATTTTCATCTTTTGAGCGAGTTGCATTACTGAAATCCTAATACAGGCCCTTTACTGACATTTAAAAACATTTATAAAGCATCGACAATGAAAGGAAGCATTTCAAGCAAATCTCTTTTTGGAAATTTAAACAGTTATTTTTTCAGTAACCGCAACTGCAACTCACTCATGTTGATTGTTTTGAGTATAGTTACTTTTTAAGTCAAACCACAAGTATTAATAGATTTATTATAACCTGGAAGGACGGCAGATTTTACGTTAAACAGGAAAAACATGCTGTAAAGATCAAAATGAATCAGTTCTCTTGAATTGTTAGGGATTCTTTGTTCATGTCCATTTAAGGAAAAAAGAAAAATAACCACGGTAAAAATAATATCACACCCAAGACAAATGTAGGCACTTATTTTGGATAATTGTGGTGACATAATTAAAAGTGTATCAGTATCTGCTCATTAGCTGCACCAAGCTGCTTATTACTTGGGGAAATGCCACAGTTCTGCACAGATGTGTGGGTTGCATGGATTCTTAAAGACTATTAGTCTAATTCAAATAAGCCAGATTCATTTATTTTTTATCTTTATATTACTTCTAATTTGAATCAGCTGGAGTTGAAACAGGAGGAATCTGCAGAATTAGAAATCCATGAAGAAATGAGTGGGACGCATGCAGATTGATTTTCTATTCTTTTCTAGCGGTGCTATAAACAGTCTAGATGATGTAGATCTGTGCTATTAAACACAACCCATTACTGTAATTTAATTAAAGTGCTGCATATGAATTTGTCATAGTAATGTGCAATAATTGTTTAACTACTTTATTATGGGCAACAAATTCAGTCTAAACATTTTGATTAGAAACTTAGAGTCAACAGAGAGCTAGCTAGCTTGCTAGCTATTCTCGTTTATTGTGTTTTATGTCCTATTTGTAAGGTTCATATGGTTTATATTCTGTAATATATATCTAATAAGTAAATCTCAGTTTGCTTAAGAATTGTGGTACAGAAAAGTTACTGCAAGAATTTATACCTGTATCCAGTTTTAGCTTGTTTATCAACAAGGCTACTTGCTAGCATGGTGCAGTGTTAGCATGCTAGCACTTCCAATTACTGACTTGGCTTTGGATTTCAAGAAAAAGTAAGTAATTATTGACCGACTAATTGAGGTTAAAGGTTTAATTCTCCATCAGAGCCCCAGGAAATTCAAATATTGATTAGCTTAATTTATTAAGAATGCTGTCAGTTCAAGAGTTCAGGAGGTGAAATGTACCGACTCTTCATGATCACAGAGAGAGTGTCTGCGTTGCTTATCATATTAGTTCACTGCTGCAAACTTTGATAGTTCTTTCATATATTTCATGTCAGGGTGAATATATAGAAAATTCTCCATCATACTGCAGGATTTTCCAAAAAATAAAATGCCGTAACTTTGGAGCTTCGGTGTGAAAGGTGTAGAAGAGAAATGCTGAAGTGTTTTTACGAGCCGTCAGCTGTAAATGTGCTGTACTTCCATTGTTTTACTAAGTATAAATAGTAAAATTATTTAAATTTTTCTCTCTTTTTTGAATTCCCAAATTATTTTGAGCAAGTACATTTTAAAATTTGCTTGGCATTTCCCCAATTTAGAGATCAAATATCTTAGAAGCCGGAAACATACAAGTTTTCAAAAGACGACAAATAGACTATAAATCAAACGTTCCATTATAGTTACAAGTGAAAAATAATTATGTGCTTCCATAAACATGATTATGTAGCATATACTACAGCCCCATCTTGAAAACTGCATTTTCTATTACTCGTAACAGAAACCAGAATGTTTTATTGACAAAAGAAGACATGATGGATTGGAATATCAATCAGCAGCCCAGAGAATCCATGTGGGAAACACAGCTAGCAGAGACGTTTTGACCAGGGAGTCAGAAGATCACAGTTTATATTTTTGCCCCGTTTCAGAACAAAACATAATTGTAGAAAAAGTTATCTCCAAACATTGGATGTTTTTCCTCCATAATTCAAGCATGAAACAAACTGAAGAGTTGGCGTTTCTGGTAGAAAACAGAAAGCTGACGCTTGATTACAGAAAAGTCAGAATGCTGGTCAGAATTGGAGCAGGAAAGATTTGAATTGGAGACTTTGTCAAAAGTGGTGAAGTGCAGAACTTAAGAAAAAAATTTAAAGAAATTTTTTTCTTAAAACTTTTTAGAAATTAAAAAAAAAGATTTTTTGAAGAAATTTTTTTTTCTTTGAAAATAGTTTAAGAAAAAAATTCTTATTTTTTTTCTTAAAAGTGTTAAGAAAAAAAATCTTAAATTTTTTAATAAATTTCTTTTAAGAAAAAATGTCAGCTAATATATAAGATGCATCTTACACACAGAGCTCATTTTTTTTTTCTCCTTTGTTCAGTGTGGGGTTTTTTTGTGTGTATTTTTTTAAAAGCAAGCCTGAACATGAAAAGTTGTTTAAAAAAATAATAAATGACATTCCATTGCATTCCAAGTCCTAAACTTGCGTAATTTCTACTCAAAAACATTGCATCCAAATGAAAACTATGGCAATGAAAGTTTGGGATTGGATCTAACAGTTTGTTTTATGTAGAAAGTTGCTTTTAAAAAAAGAGAAAATGCCTCTGAAGCTGCTCGGCATCGTTTAATTATTTCCCAAGCAGCTCAACTGATGAGCCTCAAAATGCACAGAGAACAGAAAAAAATAAAAAAATGAAATAAAAATTGGAGCAGCTGAGCGCAAAACCAGAGACGCGCAGAAGCGATGCGTGTGGGTTTGCGGGGTTGAGCGGTGAATTTAGCTCTGGAGCAGCCAGTCAGTAAAATGGAGGAGGTGATAGGCAGTGTGGGATGAGATTGTAGGTGCCCAGAGCTGTCAGGAGGAAGAGGAGGAAGAAGAAGAAGAGGGGGGGCATGGGGTTGAGTCAAAACATGTCAGGGCTCTGGAGGGAGAAACGGGAGGGATAGCAGGACGGGGGGACGTAATTAGCCAGTCACATCTCTACATTTTGACCGTTTTAAGGTCAGGTTCAGGCGGTGTTAATAAACTTGTCACAGCAGCTTTATTAGCAATGACAGACCGGCTCTGACTCACTGTGCACAGCCACTGATTCCAGATTTTTATTTATTTATTCCAAATCTGTCCCTGAAAAGGATTTAGTAGGAAACGCATCCAGACAGAATCGCTGCTCACACCGCGGATAAATACGTGGATTTCTTCAGAATATGAAGGAAAATGTTTTCCAAAACCCCTTTTCCCTCCACTTACCCATGTTGTCTCATCGGTCCAGTTCCCCGGTCCTCCGCATGCAGCACGACTCCCTCCGTGTCGCCTTTCCCAGCCCAGTCTACTTGAGGAGCGCCGCGGGTGATTCACCTGCCTTCATTGTGAAATAACTCTCTCATCAGAAGAAGGAAAAAAGCTCTTAAAGTTTGCGCTGTTGGTCCATGACGCAGCGCAACTTTCCCAAATAAACCCGAAAGGATCCGTCACCCATAAAGCGCCATGGTGTCGGAACCGGAGCGCTTCCAAGTTCAGAGGTGATGAAGAGCGGCGGCTCTCTGCGCAAACATCCAGTGGGAAGGCAGAGAGGGACCGCCGACCGACAGCCGGGATGCTCCTGTGCAGCAGCGCAGGTTGATTATTGGCGATGTGCGCGCGCCTGAGTGAGGAGGAGGGGGCGGGGGGCAGACAGGCACGCGCGCACGTGTGTGGGTTCAATTAAAACGAATCAGACGCCAAATACCCGACTGGACTCCCCAGATCCAGAGAGTTTAATGTCATCATCATCACCATCATCATCCGATCAGCGCAGTCAAAGTAAAGCGGTGCAGCCGCAGCTGCCGCGCGCCTCAGTCCTGACGCTGCGCGCTGCAGGTGTGGTGGAGGATAAACGACGGCTGTATGTGGTTATCATCATCATTACATCGTGAGTAGGTAGCCCGCCTTTTCCCACCTCGTGTTGCATAATTACTGCAGATGGGAAGGTTCAGCTCATGCGTTCATGTAAGAAGCTTTCAGGCAGAGGCGGTCCGAGCCCGTTTGGCCCCTGGGCGAACCACCAAATTCAGATACTAAATATTAACAATTTACTCAGTTATAATGTCTCAACACTAAAATCTAGGTTTTACTTTAACTCTGGGAATAAACAAATCACTTTCCAAACCTTAAAGTGATCCAAGAATAGTTGAGCATTTTGGCCTAAATATTAACTAAAACTAAAAAGTTGCTGTTTGTGATGCGCTAAAACTCATAATTACATCTTTTGTTATATATTTCACCCAAAGAGGTCGCCATTTTTCCACCTTACTGGAATCTACAGAGTAAACACAGGAAGGCTAACTTTAGAGCCGAGAAATTGTTTTATCATATTGTGTTTGGCTGGTGTAATTTTAGAGGATGCCACATGGTGTCACTGTTGGGTGTATGTAAAACAAAAAACAAAACTGGATCACGTCCCCCCCACACACACACACAAAGAAAAGTGCAGTGGGAGAGAGCCGGAGCCAAACAACTTCCGAATTCCAAACATTTTCCCCTCAACATTTCTCTCCAGAAGACCAAGCCATTTCTAAGAGCAAAACTGACGAAGGCTCCAACAGGTGATCGTTACCTTAACGAGGTAAAAATAAATGCCCTGCCAACAATTTGTATCCACAAACCACCTAAACCCCTTGGTGCCGAAGCAAAAAACGCTGGGAGAAACATCAGACTGACTGCTGGAAGCTCGGTTAAACACTAACGGAGCTCTGCAGCCAGCAGTACCGACGGCACTCCTGCCGGCCCGTTATGTCTGAATTGGGACACCGGACCCTAAACAGCTGTTACCAAACCGGAGCAGACACAGAGCTCTGTCTATTGTTACAACTAATCGTGGATCCTTTTAATTTTTGTTTTAACAGTTCATTCCTAGTTTAGTTCAGTTTTATTTAATTCCTTTTTAATCAGATTCATTCTCTGAGCTTCTAATTAATTTGCTGGTTATCAGTTATAGGTAAATACTTCACACCACCAAATATAACCTAATAAGTAAATACACACAAACTACATGCATAGTCTTCCTTATTTTCACTCTCTCAGCTAATCGGCTTCAAGGAAACTGAAGAATCCCCGTTTTCAAAATGCCACCCCATATTTCAGATTTATGAGCAGCAGATTTACTTTAAAATATTTCATATATCCTATACAAAAAATTGCAAATAGATTAATTTTTCGCAAATAATTGGGAGTTGAAAATTAGTGAATTGCTGCTGCTGTCATAGAAACATAACTCAAACTTCTTTCCAACTTTTCTTGTATTGCTTTGGTGTGGAGTGTTTTATAAACATGAACATTTTTAACTGACACTTAACAGTATTTTATCGCCACAAAGATCAGATTTCTTATTATATTTTCAATAAAACCAGCAGACCAAACATTTAGCTATACAAGTGTAATTTCTTGAATGTAAAATCATAACATCTTTTTAATATCACTTTATTGTCTACATTTCATCCCTGGAGGTTTTCTTTACAGTCAGAAGAAACTGAACTGAAGCGTGTTTTTCATCTGTATTAGTCATTTTCCTGCTGTGGGCAACACATCTGCTGCATCTGGCAACGCACAGCAAAACTAACAACACCGTCTCCTTAAGGTTCTTCCCTAAATGTTTGAGTTTGCTTGAATCTAAATCAATTCAACATGCAGTTGTAAATTCACTGTAAAGTTTCTAAAGAACATTTTAAGTCTAAAAAAAGTGGGTTTTTCCCCCCCTTTTTCTTGACGTAACAAGAATCTCAACAGGTCACTCAGGAGGAAACATGAAAAGAACAAAAATAAAAAGTCAATTTAACAAGCACAGGCAGCGGCCCGTTTGGAGCACTTGAAATGTTTTCTGTCCCAGTTCTAGGAAGGCAGGACCTTTAATCAGTTTGGTTTGGAGAGGCTAGCGCTGTTTTCTCACCGACTGTAAACCTAGAAGTACCAGCACAAAGTTTAATGAGACAAACTGCAACAGCAGCGTAAACATTTAGGAAATAAATTACTCTTTATCAAGCTTCACTTTGACAAACAAAATCCAGAAAATTGGAGATAACTGGTTCAGATCAAACTCTGTAGATATTTACATGTAAGAGATTAGAGAAAATCTTCCACTGAGAAAATATATAAAGTTTTTGTTTGTTTGTTTTTAAACAGAAACAACAAAAAACTAATATTGTTCTTAAATGCATTCTGGACAGAGTCTTCTGCAGCAAAATCAATTACAAAATGTTTTATTTATCCCAAAGAGAAACTAAATGTTGTCACCTTTGCTTTTGGTGCTCCACTTTAAATCTCATCTGTCCGCACTGCTAGAGTCAACTTCCCAATCCTCTCCCTGATTTTTGGTCTTCTCCATATTCGACTTCATAAGCTCAGAAAAATGTCCATGTTTTTTCTAGAAAATGTCAAATTAATGTAGAAACTTCTCAGTTTTGTTTTTTTGTTTTTGCCATTTTTGGAGCTCAGAAATTTCCAAATTTTTTTTCTAGAAAATTTCTGAGATTAAACTAAAAACTTGAGTTTTTGGTGGAAATTTACTCCTTTTAAATACTCTGTTGTACATTTCCTATCAGAAACAAAAAGTTGAACAGTTGAAGATCAAACAAAATATTAAAAATATTTCAAATATTTAGAATATTCAAAATATCTGAAATGTATATTGAGTATCTGAATGCATATTAAACATTTAAATATATTTGAATATATACTAAATATATTTACATGTATATTAAATATTACTAAATGTATTATATATATATATATATATATATATATATATGCAATTACTTTTGAATATTAATATATATTAAATATATAATGAATAGATTTCATACATTTTAAATGTATATTAAATGTTTAATTTTTAAATATATATTATATATTTGCATATCAATCTTATTCAAAAAATAATATATTCTAAATATTTACAATTAAATATTTTCTAAATATTTTTCATATGTAGAATAGTTTAAATGTTCTAAATATTTCAAATGTTTAGAATATTTTACATCTAAATATCCCAGGCATATTAATAATAGTGGTAAAAAAGGAACATCAAATTCCACTTGGTAACAACTCTCACTTAAGTTCAATAAGTCAGTTATTTCCTCTTGTTCCCTTTTTTTTTTGGCTAAATAAATAAATAAAAAAAGTTGGTGATATAAAGAGGTTGTTTCATCCTTTGGGTTTGTGCCTCAAGTGTGTTATGCAACATTGTGTTCATGTAAAAAGGTCGGTTCAGTTACAAAGCCCGAAACCCACACCAAAGGGAGCTATTCTCTCCCACGGACGACACGGCGCCTGAACTAACCGGCTTATCTTCCCTCACTTGTCCACATAACCAAGAGCTGGCGAAGAAATACGTAACATCACCAAAATTATACGTTTAGAAACTCATGTGGAAACAGAACGAGGCAGTTAGAAGGCATGTTTTTATCATTAGAAAAACAAAATGCTTCCTCTCTGCTTGTGTCACCACCCAGGTGTTGCTAATCAGAGACGCTTTAATAATTGGCTCACATTGGTGTTTTACTGACTTCTAACTGACCCGGAGTTCAGATGTTGCAGCTTTTGCATACATTTCTGAATTTCTCCAGGGATTAAATATGTTAAATGATTCAGCTCATGTCAGAAAATTAGAAAACACACAAAGGAAAATATTCTGGGGATTGAGTTGATGTTAAATCTGGTGTAAAAATCACAACATTTAAAAATAGTAAAGCAAGGTGGTGGTTAGAGGTGGGCATTTATTTGATCGTTTATTGTTTATCTTGATAAATTTCTTAGCATGATTTATGATAAATTCCAATTAATTACATTTTAACCCATTAAGAACTGTCCATCTTATCAGTTTTACCATTTTCTCCACAGTTTTTTCAATGAAAGTATGAAATGGATATTAATTCATTTGAAAATATGATTAAATGATGTTACAGTGTGCAGCTTAATGATACAAATCCCACTTTTTGTACGACTGGTGGCCTAAAGAATCGCATTACAAATAAAATATCACAATATTAACACAAGATATTGTGATTTGAAGTTCATATTTCTTACACTTAGTGGTGGTAGTGAGAAGTTCTGGGCTGTTTTCAATAAATTAAATAATTGCTAGAAAACTGCTGCTTATCTTCATCCAATAACAAAATTTGATGATTTCAAACATTTTCAGACCAACCAACCAGAGAAACTTGTACTTTTTAATCTATAATCAAGAATTATTGGCTTAAATAAAATTTATATCGTACTGAAAAGTTATTTGCAAGTTAGTTTTGTCTAATTTCAAGTGTACCAAGATGCGACAAAAATACTTGGTAAGATTTGATGTTTTCCTACTTTCCACTGATCTGTCTCTGGAAAACAATTCAAGATGGACGAATTTAAATTGTCATCAGATTAATTTAACTTTTGGGCAAAATATTAAGATAAGGGATTCTGTCATCTAATCACTGGTGACAACATTTACTCATATCTGGGTGGACAAACAGTTGCACTGCGAATAAATCTTGAACGTCTGAATTAGGCAGCCATCCGTCTCTTTTTATCTCGTCACTCGGCTTGTTGCGTCTCAAAATTATCATGAGAGATTTACTCTGAAGAGGAGGACGAGGGACGCTTTCATTATTAATGCACATCCAGACTTTGAATTTAACTCCAACTGATAATGTTTGTAAATAGTGATGCAAAGTGTTTTCTCTAAATAATGCAAAAGTTGTGAGTTGATTTAGAGAGCAGAATGTAAAGCAGAACTTCTCAGTGCTGTAAAAATATAAATATTAAAGTTATTAGAATATTTCATCATGATGATGATTTAATTTAATAGAAAAGTAAAAATATTTAAACTTTCAACATTTCAGCAACCTTGGTCTTTTTGATGCTCTTTTTGTTTCCGATTTTACTAAATAAGTGACCG